GAACAGAATAGAATCACTGTTGCATGTGTTTGCTTGTCATCTCTAAATCAACAAGTGTAAAGGAAGCAGACGCTTCACATGCATGAGAACATTAATCCACCATATGTCCTATAGAATAGAATAAAACAAGTACAAAAATATAAAGTCATGACTGTGACATGTGTCTCCATCCCTGATGAAGATAAGATAGAATAGAATCAATCAATAACTCAATCAACAGGTGAGGGCTGTATCAGTGTCGGACATGTAGGCGCAGTGTCCTGCTCTGTGATGTGCAGAGAAACAACAGGTGTAAATGTAAACACACCTTCAGTGTTTCCATCAAATCAGGCAAGAGAAGAGAATAAAATACAATAGAATACAATAGAATAGAGTAGATGAACTCTGTGAGATAAAACATGATGCATGTGAATCCACTGGTGGAGCAGGAAACATGTTTACAAACAGAAACACAGTTCTTCATATTTCCACCTTAATTCCACCTTAACAATCAGAGCCTGTGAACCAGCTCTGAGGTCATGTCCGGGTCTGCTCAGTCTGACCTGCACAGGTAAATCCCTGCGTATCCCTCCACATTAGAATGTCCTGTTAATTCCTCTAAGACTGACACACACACACACACACACACACACACACACACACACACACACACACACACACACACACACACACACACACACACACACAGTCATCGATGGATGCACATGTTTTCCTCGACGCTCACACACCTTGCTTTGCTTTGCTTTGGAGCGTCAACATACTGCATGGCTTCCTAACCTGCTCGCGCACCCGTGCACGTGAAGGTGCACTCACACACACAGGAAAGGCGAGACAACACCAGGTAAAGACACAGCTTCGTTTCCCTGAACAGTTAGCCAAGCGACCTGTTACCCAGCCACGAGCCTCTCTGTCTGACACACACATACACACACACACACACACAGGCGCGCACGCACTCACGCGGGCACGCACGCCTCGACTCTCCTCTGGAAAGGGTAACAGCGTTGCTCCTGACACCTCCAGGCTCAGACTAAAACCCGCTAAGCGGCGCGGAGCCGGTGAAGCCGCCGGGCTGCCGCTCCGCTCCGAGCCGCCGGTGAGCGGCTGTAAACATGCAGTGGAGGAGGAGTGTGTGCGGGAACACAAATCCAAGCCCCGTTACCGTTCTCTCCGTGTCGGGTCCTGCTGGATGCTCGGCTTGGTGGGCGCCATCTTCCTGCAACAATTATTTGATTTCTTACTTTCTCTTCTCCTCCGCTCTCGGCTCCTCGGCTTTATTTGGACGCGGAGCCGCGGCGGTGCGCTGCGCCCTGACAGCAATGCGTCATGGTCGGTGTGTTAAGACAAAGCCATGTCCGTGTGTGTGAACGTGTGAGTGTGTGTTATGTGTGTTTGAGCGTGCGTGCGTGCGTGCGTGCTGTGCTGTGCTGTGCGTGCGTCTCCTGCTCGTCTCTCTCCTCCGCCGCCGCCGCCGCTGCCGCTCAGGAGCGTGGAAACAACGGGCGGTGGAGAAGGCAGGGACCGGGCTGCAGCAGCAGCAGCAGACGAGGCATGCCGAGCGGAGTGAGGGGGAACCCGGGGTGGATGCCTCTCAGATCCCGCTGTCTCTCCCCTCTCTTCCTCTCTGTCTCTCTGCACACATGCACAGCTTCGGTTTTGGCACTACAGAGGAATTTCCTGCATGCGCTCCGGAGGAAAAAAAAAACCAAACAGGCGCGTCAGATCTTTACATTCCCTCCGCCGCTGCAGCGTCTATATCCGCGTTACGATCCCCGCGGCGGAGCGTCGCTCAGCGGTCAAAGTCTCTGTGGTTTTTCGGAGCATTTTTCCTTCCTCCGGCTGCTGACAGGGAAAAAAAGACACCACACATCTCCGGTATTTTCTCCAGCCCCGGCGCAACAACGCCACTCAGTTGCAGTTGGAATCAGTTTGTGTGTGTGTGTGTGTGTGTGTGTGTGTGTGTGTGTGTGTGTGTGTGTGTGTGTGTGTGTGTGTGTGTGTTTTATTCTTTATTTAATTCCCCCTCTCTTCCTGTATTACAGGTTGCACCGCGCGGTTATTATCCAATTTTTAACCACCAACAGAAACACCCAACGTGCGCAGGGGGTGATGGGGGATTTATTTGGATGGTTGCCCTGTAAATCAGATCTATGCACCTACACACACACACGCGCACACACGTGCACGCACACACACACACACACACACACACCCCTCCCCTCCACCCTTCAGTGTCATAATAAACACATCACAGCAAATGTCTCACTTCAAATTCCTAAATCAGCAGCCGCCAACTTTCCTGTAGTTTCCCGCCTCTGTCACGTCCTGGTGTTTGCATGTGCAGGAGATGAGCAGAACTCCTCCTGTCGTCTCCACACATCAAGTCATCCTGATCATTGTGAGATTTCAGACCGATGAAATGTCCTCCAGACTCTGATGTCTGTGACGGCTCATTATCCTCCAACTGAAACTACCTCCTGCTTTTTCTTTCCATCTTTTTCTTCCCTTCAACATTTATTTAAATTCCTCCTTTTTTTTCTCCAAATGTATAATTCATTGTAACCTAATCGCTGTGCCGTGTGATTAACCCCCAGGCTGCAGCCCTGGAAGCTGAAAAGCCTCCCTCTCTATACCAATGACCTGTCAAGGTCAAAGGCATGCTGGGTATTCTCCACACAAACAGGGGGTTACAGGCGGTGCTGCGGTGGAAAATAAAGACTGGGGAGGGGAACCTTGACCTCCAGCTGACGATCGTCATGAGCTAAGCGCCCGCCGATCGACACACGTGCACTCTTGCGCTCAGGAGCAGGCGTGGACGCCGGTGTGACGGCAGGTGCGGAGGAACACACTCCTTTCACTCTGAGTCTCAGGAAGCTGAGGCTGGTTTGTGACGCGTCCCGTCATCAGCAGTTCATCATCCCTGCATAAGGACACAGACGAGGCAGAGACCGCGGCAGCACCAGAGTCCAGGAGCCGAAAGGTCACAGGTTTGACCCCCAGCAGCAGCAGCAGCCGCCCTCAGCTGCACTGACGTCATGGAGACGCTCAGAGTTTTGTGGGATAAAAACAAATGAACTTTAAAGGTGTTTTGGTTTTTTATTCGTGTTTTTCTGTGTCTGATTCATGGCGTCACCTGGTCCGGTGTCGCCGCTCGCCGCTCCTTCTCTCTCCATCTCAGCTCTGCTTACCGAGAGCAGTGAAACGGAGGCGACGTGGATAATGGAGCGTAATGTATAAACATATTAGCTCCCAGCTGTTTGCTGGGGGAGACATTATGTATAGAGAGAGAGAGGGGAGAGGGGCAGCGAGACGCCGGGGCGGTGAAGACGCTCCGTCTGAGGACGAGGAGAATTTTTCTTTTTTTAAAAAGCGTCCTGTCTGGATGAAAGAAGCCTCTGCAGCTGGAGGAGACTGTTTGGGACTGTGTTTCAAACCAGCTATTCCCAAACTTGTGGTCTGGGGCCCTCAAAAGGGTCGTGGAGGAGTCCTGACGGGTCCCCAGCTGCCGGATGACGACATAGTTAAATTCCAGCAGGTTTTATGTCAGGAGAAATGAGCCGAGAACGTGTCAAACCACGACTCTAATCCTCGCCCCACACATATGGACACAAACATACAGTCCACTACCCGAAATCCTCCCTTATGGGGGTCTGGGGTGTGTGTGCCCAGAAGCCCTGCTTTAAATAACAATGCGGCCCTTCTTCTCCTCGTATTTGTTGCTTTAGAGCTGAGACGCTCTCTGTGCACCCGAGAGGCCCCAGCTGTGATTTACGTCGTGTTTGCTCCCCGTAGCTTTTAGACTTCACACACACACACACACACACACACACACACACACACACACACACACACACACACAGCTACACTCCATAATATGGAGAGTTTTTTGGGGTAATAAGAAAAGAGTGTGTGTGTGTGTTAGGGGTGTATTTTGCCCCCCCCCACGGCTCCAGATGATTAGAAAAAACAACACACTGAGCGGCTGGACGGAGGCAATCATTTAGATTCAGAGAGGAAATAACAGGGGGATAGATGGAGGGAATCGTCACCAGAAAACAGGTTGGACTGAAGGAGCGGCGGCTTCACGGTCAGCTGGAAAACACTCAACACATTTCTCTTTTTGAAATAATCCATCCCTCTATTTCCCATAAATTACCTCCTTTGTTCCCACTGAATTAGCAGAACCTGGTTCGGGGTTTTTCCACTGAATTACCTGGACTTCACTCTTAAATAGTTGAACCTCCGTCCTCTTTTTCCACCAAACCACGCAACCTGATTCCTCTACTTATCCTCCGCCGCCTCATCCCTCCGTCTTTGCTTCATATCCCTCTTTTCCCAAACAAGTGTGTGTGTAAAACTTGCTTTCAAACACTAAATAAAATAAACTGTGGATATTGAATTTAATTGTCAAAGTCCCCAGATTCTCCTTTTCCTTCTTTTACTCTTCAGGTTCAATAGAAAAAATTTGAAAAAGCAAAAGGAAAATAACTGAGGAAAAAGGCCACATTTTTCCTGACATTTATCCCAACACGGACCCTCGCCGCTAAAACACCTCCGTCCAGTTTGACTCATGGAGCTGCATTCAGGGGTTGTGGACGACTTTTACAGCTTTGATGTAAAATACCAACTGATAGCTGGAAAGTCTGAGGGTCATTTCATGGTCTCTCTTTAAAATATATGAAAGCAAATAAAAGTGTCCACTGAGTTAGAGATGCCCAACTGTTCCTGAACAGAAAAATGTCCCATAAAGAAAGTGGTGTGGTAACCGTGTAACAATACATATAAAATATAATAATACAAATATCAGGGACAGGTCTATTATAGAAGGAGACAGAGATTTCACTGCAAACTGACTTTAAGCTGCAGAAACACACCACAGGATAATGGAGGTAATTTCTTCTTCAGGTGTGGATCTGTCACTTTTCTTCATTTTACATTAATCTCTTTTTCCCTGCATCACTCTGCAGCTACAGGTCGTTTTTCTGCAGCTCCCCACGTACCTTTGCTGGTAGGCGGTGATTCCCTGCACGCTCTGCGGGGTCCCGTTCGTGGCTCCGGGGACCGGCACCGGCACCCGACCCACCGGGGGTCCGGTCACCATCCCGCCGCCTCCGCCGCCTCCTCCTCCGCCACCAGCCCCGGCTCCTCCGGCCGCCGAGGCTGTCACCTGGACGCTGAAATCCGGGAAGATCCTGATCATCGTCCCGGCCGTCTCCGCTGCGCTCCCGCGTCTATTTTAACAACCTCCTCCGCTTCTTCCTCCCAACGCACACCAGTCACCGACTTACTGGGAGCACTGGTTTATCAGCAGATGACAAACAGCAGTCTTCTTTTTGTTGTTTTTCTTCTTCTTCTTCTCTTCTTTAACCTTCGGATGTAACTCTCAGGCAAATCCGGATCATGGTCCCGGTGCGCAAAACAAACAGTCACCAATCAATGGATCAATAGAGGAACAGGATTATTGAGAGTGTGTCGCACGAGCAGAAAAGATCATGAACCTTCTCTCCTCTTCTTGCTCCTTCTCTTCCTCTCGGCTCTATCCTTCAGAGATAACCCCTGAGCAGCTCCGGATCATGGTCCCGGTGTCTCCGGTGCGCTCGGTCTCCTTCTTCTCTTTCGTCCCACTCAACAATCAATGGGATCAATGGATCAGTGGCTCTAATAGGTGATTATTTCACCAGTTAAAGACGGATGAACAGCCGTGTCTGTATCGCTGTCTCCCGGTGCGGGAGCTCCGGAGTCCCCTCTCTCACGCGGGCACCGCCGCCGGCTCTCCTTCCGAGAAAGGCATCCCGTCCCCGGCTCTCCTCCGCCTGGTGTCTGCCGGTGGGTGGGTGGATGATGGGTGGGTGTCTGTGGGAACAGCGGACCTGGAGGAGAGCAGTCAGTCAGTCAGTCGGTCAGTCAGTGAGCGCGCGGCTCTCATCTTCAGCACGAGCTCGGCAATGACATTGGTGTGATACAGTGATACAGCAGCGGCAAAGTGTGTGTCGGTATGTCGGCGAGCGCCTGCGTGTGTGTGCGCGTCTGTGCGTGTGCTGTCCTCTGTGCTCCACACACACACAGGAGGGAGAGGGAGAGAGAGAGAGAGAGGGAGAGAGAGAGAGGGAGGGAGGGAGGGAGAGAGAGAGGGAGAGAGAGAGATAGACTGATAGCGCTGTTTGTTCAGCGGGAGGACATTTCCTCTGGTTCGTTGTGCGGAGGAACGCAGCAGCTGCGAACTGGACTTTGATTTTAAAGGCAGCAGATAATAAAGAGACAGTTTCTATTCCAGCTGACGTGTTTCTGCGCCGCGTCGTCCAACTCCTCAGACTGACCCCAAACCTTCAATAAACGGCCCCAAAACTTTCCCCGGTGCGCGGCGCGAGACCAACCGGGGAAAGTCGGAGTTTAAACCGAACAAACCTTCAGAGTTTGGAGAGCAGAGGAGTCAGAAACTTTCATCTGAGACGCAACAGATCCACCTTAAATGTTTTTATGTTGATAAGAAGATGATTTATCAGATGTATTTCTAATATTCCCGGGGTGTGTCTGTGGTCGGTTACTTTACCGGGGGGGGGGGGGGCAAAATAAGACGCATGGAGCCAGAAAGGTGAACAGAGAAAAGAGGAGTGTGTGAATGAGTGTGTGTGTTTTCATCACCGTCCCCGCTCAGCATCTGATCTGAGAGCAGCTGAAGCCGCTCCGCTCTCCGCTCTCCGCTCCTCCGCGCACTGGAGCTCCGTGTGTGATCAGACTCCAGAATAAAGTCATATTAACTCTCTCTCTCTCTCTCATGCTGTCTCCTCCCCTTTCTCTCACTCACTCAAACTCTCCACCCCTCCCTCCCTCTCTCTCTGTTTTTGTCTATAATGCACGCTCACACTGTGTGCCCCCCTCCTCCCCCTCCCCTATTGTCTCCCTCCTCCTCCTCCTCCCCCCTCCTCTCCTCCTCTCTCCTCCTCAAACTTGGTGCCATACTTAAACAGTTTCTCACCAGATCAATGAAACTAATTCAATTATTATTATAATAATATTATTATCTTAATTGTTTCTCTGACTTTGTGGAAATACTCTGACAAATAATCTTCACTTATGATTCACTTGCTCGCTTTTTTCCAGAGCTTTTGACCACATCTCTCCGTCTTCCTCAGTACCCATTTTAAAATAATATCTAAATTAGATTTGAGGTGGATCCATGTGTTTTCAGTTCGTTTTCAGCTATAATGATGTAATTTACTTTAACTTGATGGATAATGACACTTCAGATATTGTTAATCTTGTTATTATTAAAGGTAAATATCACATATATATATATATATATATATATATATATGTATGTATGTTTATATGTATATTATTGGCAGTACTCCCTCTTATAATTATTTATAACTTTGCCAATTATTTCAAGTGAAGTTCATGGAGAAAATGAATATAAAGGCAAAAGAAATGTCTAAGTCTATTTCTGGATCCTTGTTTTTTTAATATTTATTTCTGCTTTTCATCTCCTGACCTTGTTTTTATTTATTTTGTTTTAATTTCTCTTTCTCTAAATCTTCAGGTTCATTCTTTGTGCTTTAGCCCATTGTTATCTTCCACCATCGTTTACTGAATGTTATTCCTTCCTGTAAATTCATTCTCTAACTTGCATTGGACATTGATTTTGTGAATAAAAGAAAAAAGGTGTGTGTGTATTGCAGACAGTCCCACCTTACTTCCTGTTCCTGTCTGGACGTGTCCTTTCAGCACAATCAGGAAACGTGAGGAGGAAGTGAGGGGAAGAAACCACAAGGTTTGGATGAATCTGGACCAATCAGATGCCTCCTGATAATGATGATGGAAAAGAATATAAACATTTAAAGTGACTTAAACTTTTGCACAGCGCTTCCTGTCCAGATTATTTTCATATTAGTAACTTGATGACAGAAATGTAAACAACACCAATCGTTTGCTAGTTGCTGATAGTTAGCCTCTAGGTTCCCTGCTAGCCAGTAGCAGAGTAAACTACACTGTAAAAAAAAATAATCCAAATTTTACGTAAAATAACTCTTAAGTTTTCTAACAGTAATTTTATGTTTTTTAAAATTGTGAACAAAAGTCTGTAAAATGACAGAAATGATATGAATTAAAAGCCAAACTTGTATTTTAAGCATTATGCCAATAATAATGAGTTACATTTATTTCCCATTTTTGTAAAGACAAATTACTGTATAATTTATACTGTATTTTTTCAGCTTTCTTAAATTACATACAAATCTGTGTAAAATGACAGTAATTATCTGTAATTAAAAATGTAGCTTGTTATTTTAAAGGTTAATGTCCATACGAACAATTTAAAGATCTTCTCTGTAATTTCAGGGTGAATCTTATTAGTTTTATATTTATGTGACTTCTACATTCAAACTTTGTGATTCTGGATGAAATGTAACAAACTTTCTTTCATCACATCAAACATTCAAAATTCAAACAAACAAGTTTGAAGTACTGGAGTGTATCCCAGCATGCACTGGGAGGAAAGCAGGACAATGGTTTATCACACAACAGTCAAGCTGTCAGACTGTTGCTCTGTCCTCACTGAGCTATGAAGTATTATTTTACATCTCTACTATAATTTATACTTGTTACTAAATAAGATTTATCCACCTCTTTATGATGCAGACTTGTCTTGTGACAGTGAAGTTCACCTGCAGCTTCATTCACAACTGTATTCTAGTTTTAATTTGTCAGTTACAGTTGATTGTAAATTGTTGAAATTAATGCAGTTTTAATGTAAAATAAAGTTTCTTATGAAGCTTTGCTTTGTTGATGGTTTTTATGGAGCGTGTCTGGTATGAATTTGAACAGTAGCAGCAGCACAGTATAGAAATCACAACACACTGAGGTTTTTCCTGAATCTGTAATTAATCAAAGACTTTCTATGTTGCTTTAATCAACAACAAACATGATAGAAATGTTTAAATGTGTCCGTCCTTCAACAGTGACAACACAGGATCTAGAGACAGATACTAGAGTTTGTGCTTTTCTAATTTGTCTTATGAACTTACCAATTTAAATAACAATGAAAACACTGATTCACCAAAGTGACTGTTAGATTCATCATGAGGCAGATGGTAAATATGAAGAAACATTCAGTACAATTTAATCACAGGTTTATTTATTAAACACCTTTTCAATGACAACGATGAAGTTGTGAATAAAACTAATGAACATGAGCTGTACTACACTGACAACTGCTTCACAATCTGAACTGTCAGTGTTCAGTTCACACTAAAGAGTGTGTGAGGTGAACACATCCGTCTCTGAGGTCACAGCATCACATCTATGAAGAGTCTGGTTTTGCTCCAGGTTGCAGTTCTGGTGGGTCAGTTCCATCTGTTTCCTACTGAACACCGTTTGATGTTAAACTGGTCGATACTTTCAGCTGTGAAGGTGGTGACTGTGCTAGAGCTGAACACATTCTGCTCTTCACATGTTGTTACTGTCATCCATCAACAACAGTAGAAATGAAGTAAAAGGCAAGAAAGTGAATCTGTGAACACTGAGGACAGAGAATAATAAACAACTAGAAAACTCCTGGAGAACTTTTGAATGTTGCTGCTGCTTAGTGCGTTCAGGAATTTTCAAGTTTCATTCATGTCGTAGAGACTCGTCCTGACACTGACCTCAGTCACTGCAGCTGTCCCTCAGAAAGCCTTTTGAAGCTGTGACGACTGAACACAATAACCTCACACTGATGGTTTCAACACAAATGTGTCCCCACAACCACAGCAAGACATGTATACACACACGTACATGTATACACACACGTACATGCCCTAACAGAAGTTGATCTGCTATAAAGCTATACCACTACATCCCCATATAGACGATCACTTCTAAGATCAAACTTTTATGACCTATGACCTCTTACCTTTTTGAGACTCTTATTTTGAAATTTTGTACAACAGAGCCAATAATTCCCTCTTACCATGTTGAGACTTTTATTTTGAAGGTAATCCAAATCGTAGAGAGGTGTGTTTGTGTTTCTGTCTATATATATATATATGTGTGTGTGTGTGTGTGTGTGTCTGTGTGTGTGTGTGTGTGTGTGTTGAAGTATGATGCAGCAGTAGAGCTTCAAAGAGGGCTGGGTTTGGTCAGTTTGAAGACATCTCCCCATTCATTCTCTATGGGAATTTTTTCACTTTTTAGCGGCATTTACATCGCCATGGTTACTCAAAC